CCCCGGCGCGCGCCGCCCCCGGGGTGCACTGGTACGCGAAAGCGCTCTACTCGCTCGCCAGGTTCCTGCTCCCGGGCACCATGCTCTACAAGTGATACGCTTCCACCGGCTGTGGTGGCTGGGCGCCCAAGTACTTGCCGACCTGGAGAGCCTCGCTTTGCGCTCAAGGCCCAGCTTTGAACACTTTTCCACTAGGAAACGGCGCCTACGTTAGTGCACAGCGCTTCATTAATTTACCTTTCGTAGAAGGGAAGTCAAAAACTCATGGCGATGTGTCTGATTGGTACTCTAGGAATGAACGTTTTGTGCATGTGTGAGTGAGTTCGTGCATCAGAGGAGAGAGTATCGCACAGTGAGAGAGAGCATAGCTCCTGAATTATGAGAGTTGGTGATGTGATTTGTTAGACCGGTGGTAGCGCGTCTGCAGACACTGATGTTTGTGCTTGTGCATATATTTGTTTCAAACACCAGTTGTGACAGTCTTTAAGAATTATTTATTCATTTTCAAATGTTTCTCTGTTTTGTATTTCATTTCCCGTCCTGTCTCGTCTGTCACAATAGTTTTCGACCAACTAGGTGATTGCTCAGCACAAATATCAGAGCCTGCATTGCCTGTCTCGTGGTTGGCTTTTGTAAAATACAGAAAAGAATAAAGAGAATTGTGACCCAAAATAGGGCACCTACTCTTTGAAAAGTGAGAAATGTAAATAGAAAATATACATGTAGTAAGTTATTGCACCTATTGAGCTGTGTAACAACCAGCTGCTTCTTGTGTCCATTCATTTAAAACAGGTCACAGCAGGCGATTGGAAACATTTACTTAGTAAGAGACTCTGATGGCTTGAAATGACCAACGTGGCTTTGAGAACAACTGGACTGTCAGCTTCATTATTTCACTAATTTTCTGGTCAGTATTAATAAGTGTTAGTTCATTATTATAGAGTGATATAGACTAATTGTTTATAAATTATATTCTGTTTACTCACAAGCCAGAGAGGCAGCACTTCATAAGTGGTCACCACGATTGTATGTCTTCCGTTGAATTAAATAAAAGTGATGATCACTTTCCTACCATGTACTGTGCAGACTTACCTAGTAACTTCTATTCACAGGCGTGTGGTTGTTCATGTGTATAAGTTCGTATCCTTAGATATCATGTGTAGAAAACTGTGATGGATTGGGCGAATGCTTCACTAAATAATTAGTACTCAGTGCCATGTGCGTGTAGAACGTATTCTAGTAAGCCAATCTTGCTGTGGCCTTCTTTTCAATCCAAATATTTAATTTGTAGATTATATTCTAGACGAGCTTTGCCTAGCAGAATTAGCAACAGGGAGTTGAACTTCCCACATTTCTACAGCAAATACCATTATAGCCACAAATGCAGTTGGTCTGAAAGTACTAATAAACCGCAACATTTTGCATATCCTATTTCTATTTTATGAGACTTTTGTGCTTCTTGAGGTCAGCAGTTTGAAGCCATAGCATTTATTTTCCTTAATTTTATTCTGATAACATTTACATAGTATATTGCCAAGACGCAATAAAACAAGAAATAAAGACTACTATTTCAATACTACTGACCTCTGAATATAGCTGGGGTTGCTCTTGTAAATATGTGCCTGTAATTTGTCTGTATAAAATATAACAACGCATGGTCAGCCAGCGTTTTCAATGTGATGCATTTCTTAAATTATCATACATTGTATGTAGTGAATATTTTATACAATTGTAAATATTATGAATATATGTCCAAGTTAATTTATTTTTTGTTTTTAATTCCTTAATTCCTTAAAAGCAATATCTCTAAAATCAAACCAAACATATTTTGCCCCCACATTGTGTTCCCTCGACGTTTCGCTGAAGTTTTCCTCCAATCCATTCATTCCTTTATCTGTGAAGTTATACACACACAGGATAGAAACTCACGATAGAACATTAATCTAATAATGGACCACTTGTACTTCTTCGAAATAATCTTTGCTCTCCACAGAAAATAGGAGATCTGCAATTTAACAAGTCTTGGTCTGTATTATAATATTTTAAATTAATAATATACTTCCATCATATTACTGTGATGCGAGTTCAGAAATAAGTAGGTCTATATTAAATTAAATTTAGAAATTTATATTTCTTGCTACTGACTTTGGATGTACCTCTCCTACTTCGTTATTGAGTGGTATTATGTTTATTAAATAAAGGAGTGTAAAATAAAAAAACTAAAATTTGATTCTTCAAAATATAAAAAAGTTGTATTCGGATTTGATTTTCCTCACATATCACTTCCTGGTGTCTCCTTTTTCTACATCTGGATGTTTTAAGGAAATCATTTTTGATATTTCTCCAGAATATTCGTAATTCCGCGTCATCAATTGGTTGGATTATGATGAGTTCCATGAATTCCTCTGGTCCTCGAAAGAAGGCCAGAGGGGGAAGTACACACCTGTGCAAACACATTTTTTAAACTTTATGAAGAAGTCGCTGTGGTTCACATATACGGCATATTGTCATTTAAAATTCAATAGTAGTAGACCAATTAAAATATATTCTTACGCGCAGTTTAAAAGAGCGTAATATAAAAGACTTTGTTTCATGAAAAACGTACCGCCACCACGGGCTACTTGGACCCTGAGGTTACTTCTTGGATCCAAGCTAAAAAATGTTTTCAGCGATTGCAGTCGCTGATACATTGCATTGACCAGTTGGTTTGCTATTCCTTCCGTGCGATGGCAACGCAATGCAGCATTAAACGCGTTTAGCACAATTCGGTGGTACGCCAGTAATTACAGCACTCTATTAAGTGTGTGGGGTCGAAATTGGTCGAATTTGAGCCCTGCAAACTTTTATCTCTACACTGGATGTCAAGATAGTTGATCGAGGGATCACTTTGCAATTTGATAATGATATATTTCTTAAAAGAACGGCTCTGATAAATTCATCATCAGTAGAACGCCTTCCCCATTTTTTTCAGATTTCTTAATTGAGAGCACATAACCTCAAAAACCGGGCTACTTTGGACCCACACTCATAGTGGGGTCAAGTAACCCAAAACTTTCTTTTTTATCTTTTTAATGAGTTAATAGTTTTATTTCAATATTTCAAACTTCAACAGTAGTGATTTTGTCTTGCTCTTACAGTAATCTGACCGTTATACTACACAAATACAAAGATTTCCTGAAGTCGGAAATATGCGGATTATAAGGATCATCAGCTTGAGGAATGTTTGGCAGCAATTGCCGGGAATAATGTCACAAAGCTAAAGCTTCCTTTATCTTCACCGACTCATTTGTCGATCGACTATAAAAAAGGGGACTGAAGAACAAATCCACTCAGAAACCGGGCCAACCAAAAATATTTACAGAAGACGAAAATTAATATTTTAAAAGGGACCGTGACCAAATCAGAAATTTCAGATTTCCTATTGATGAACTCTATTACAGATTTATTGTAAAGTCTTACTTATCTATGTATAGATGGCAGAACACTTACTGTTATCGAAGATAATCTCCTAGGGCGAGAACGGGTGAAATTATTTTTTAGGCGCCTAAAGTTATCGATAACAAAATAAATAATAAAAATTGTATTTCAGCTTTTGAAGTTATATTCGTGTTTGTAGTATATTTAGATTCATGTTATTAAAAGAAAACCTACAAACACATGGACACCATGCAAATCTCAGTGGTTTTATGTACGATAACATCGCGTGGGTTCAAGTAGCCCCCACAGCGCTATAAATTGAACTAAATTTTCAAAAACATTATTTTCTATTTGTGTTAAATATATCTTATCAATCTATTCTCAAGCACTTCACAATAAGCCCGTAGATATATAGAAAAAATTATAAACATTTTTTTTTAGTTTCTCAAGGATTAGTAAAGAAGAAACTACGAAAACATTGAAAAATTGAGTGCTAGTATCCCGTGTTTACGGTACAGAAAATTTCAACAATTAGGCGATTATTTATGGAAATAAGGAAAAATTTCAATTTTCTCTCTATAAATACTGTCTCATGTTTTTTTCTAGTGGAATTAAACTTCGTCGAGCCTTCTAAGATATACAGAATCTTGCTGGTTGTCCAGAGTAAACTTAGGGAAAAAGTAGTAAATATATATTTTAAAAAAACTGTGTCTTATTCGCAAAAACAAACCGGAAATATTCTATCATATCGTAGAATTTCCTTTATTTTAAACAAAAGGAACCAGCCACAAATATGTAGAACAGAGTCCCAAAATCGCCTAGACTGCGGGTTTTGTGTTTTCCCTACAGCAGAAAACTGATGTAGATGGCTAAGCTATCGAAAGCTGCTATTGAAATAAATAATATGTGTGNNNGCCAGAAGAGAGAATGAGTGAATAATATTATTAAAATATCTTCAGGAATCCCTCTGCTTCACAGATATTGAATTACGAAACGTGCGATTGCCTGGGCGTGCACGCGGCGCTGACTTCCTCAAAGACGTTCGAGAGCGATTGCTGCATATAAAATAAATAAATTCTGAGATAAATTGTAAAAATCATAAATATGTCACGCGTCACGACTAAAATACACATTCACTATTACAATTATAATTAGGAGTATATATGTACTTTAGTACATTCTACAAATATTGGTTTTGCTATGAGTAGTAATAATTATTAATGAAATTATGATAAAAGTCCGTATTAGTGTCTCCGATATCTGAAAATTATTTAATATTTCGAGAAAGTAACTGTATTTTTGTTGGCATCAGTGAAATATTTTCTGACATTTGCCTTAGCAGTCAACGTGAAACAATATCAACATTCACCATGTTACTCTGCACAACTGTTCTCTACATAGATAGAAAAATAATACGTTATTAACGTTATTATGGATCGGCCTTGCTGTAAGAGAAACCAGAGTTTCCACGAGCCGCTGACACTTGGACAGGGTTAGATTTTTTGGCAAAAATCCGACTAGCATTGTAAAACGAAACTATCACTAAGGGTTGAGAAGCGTTTTAACATGAGGATTGCTAAAAGATGAAACGGTAACTCTTTATCTAAACAATGATACTGAAAAACCTTTACGACGGTTAGTTATTTTATTTATAACTTATAACATTGTATTTCGTACTTAATGCAATTAAAATTACTTGTAATTTTCAATCTACAATTACATCTGGCACATCATTGAATAAACTATTATAATATCTATAAAGTGTATTTAATTGTTATTTTAGCACTAAAAAACTCAAAATTTTACATTGAACTAAAGTAAGAAACACATGTAATTTGCTAAGTACAATCAAAAGTCTTATGAAACCATACCTATTTTTCCTAGTGGGCAATGAGATGCCGAAGCACATTGTGTGTCCGCCGCTGATTCTTTGGGCCAAGCCGGGAGCTAGAGTAAAAGCACACATTGTCCCTGTCAATGGCGTGCTGCACCCGCTGCGCCGGCTGTGCTTGCTGTACATACACCAACACGCGCAGGGGTGTAAACACTCCCGCCCACTAAATACGCCGGACGACAATGCCAGCTCGGAGTACGCGAGGCGAACTGCTTTTCTGTGGGAGGTCGCGTTGTTGCACGGATAATTCAGAATTCAAAGTGCGGTTACATAATTCGATATTTCGTTAGCCTACCAGTTTGGCAGTCAAAGAATTAAATGCAGATTATTTTACAAATGTTTCAGATATTGTTCATCTATTTTCTTTGTCATTATGACTTATTCATTATTATTATTATTATTATTATTATTATTATTATTATTATTATTATGACAAATGCCGATCCGATGGACGAGACTCCAGTCCCGCCTCGGGCATGGCTATGTTGTGTGCGTCTTTATGTGTGTCTATTTCATCATTCATCATCATTATCGTCATCATCATAATTCCATCCTACCTTATTACCATCCCACCACATTTCCACCTTATCACCATTCCACGAGATTAAAATGCTGATTCCCCCCCATAGAAAAAGGAACGTGCACCTACCCCAATAATCAAGTCTCGATGCAGTCTCCGGCAGGATGCACTTATCGCTTGACCCCATGATGGCCGATTCCCGAGTCAAAAACAAATAATAATAATAATAATAATAATAATAATAATAATAATAATAATAATAATAATAATGTGAGACAAGAAATGTTAAAGAAATCGTGGAGAGACAAACAACTTCATGTACAGTATCTAAAAGGAATAGACATGGTGCAGTTTAATAAAGATCAATCAGGTACGTGGCTTAAAAAGGCAGATCGGAAGCATTTCTAATAGGTGCCCAAGACCAGGCGTAGAGATCACGACATAGCGATAAAGCGTATCTCAAAATTTCCCAAGTTGATAAATACCGCATTTGCCGTGAGCAAGTAGAAACCATTGATCATATCGTCTCGTCTTGTCCAATTCTAGCAAACACCGAAAACTTGAAAAGACACGACAGGATGTGCAATTACCTCCACTGGCACATCTGTACAGCC